ATCTATCTATCTTGGTCACATTTTACCAACCCCAAAAACTTCCCCTAACCTTTCCATATTGTAGAACCATGGTAGTGTAGTAGTTAAAGTGCTTGGCTGCAAAGTGAAAAGCCACCAGTTCAAACCCACCAGCCACCCTACAGGAGAAAGCTGTGCTTATCTATTTGAATAAAGATCTCCAGGACCCCACAAGTTGTGATCATGTGTAAGGAGTGTGTGTGTGTGTGTGCATAGATGTGTATGCGCATGTGCGTGTGTGGATGGGGAAGCAGATGGAGTTTGGATGGAAAGGCTCTAGGATTCTGGGGAAGGACCCTCAGGCCTCAGCGGCGCTGGTCTGGTCGTGTTGTCAGGAGGGACCAGTCCCTGGAAAAGGACATCATCCTCGCTGAAGTTAGAGCTTCATGGAAATGCTGCGAACCCTGCAGGAGGTGAACTGGCCTGGCACCCGCAACTAGGGGCTCAGAACAATGGTGCGGGTGGCACAGGCCCAGGCGGTGCTTCGTTCTGGTGTGCACAGGGTCGCTGCGACTTGATGCCGACTCCCTGGCCCCCCTGTGCGTCGCTCTGTACTTGGTGTTTCAACAAGGGCGGTTTCTGACGTCCTCCGTGGTCTGCGAGTTCTAATGCCTGTGTTTTCCCAGGACCCCCAGACCACTGCTTGGTGTCCAGTAAGCGTGTGACAGGCATTCCTAGCCTTCAGTCACATCACAGTTCTTGCTTAATCCCCAAGGAGCTAAACTAGAGGAGGCTCGACAACACCCATCCCTTCACACTGAAAGAAACACAGATGACGTTTGCAGAGGTAGACGATTCTACCCCAGACACCGATCTGGGATGGATTAAGTATCCGTTGCATCTTTACCACAAGTCTTTCCTCAGTCCCAAGTCACAGGGCCAAGGATGAGGTCATGTCCTGAGAGCGCTGCTGGCACACCGCTCAGTTGCCTGAGGGAGGAGCCAGAACTGACAGTGCCGGGCCTGATGGGCAGCGATGGACTTAGAATCTCTCTGGTCCACACTGAAGCGCTGCTAACGATGGAAGGACTTTGTTTCTAGAGAAGTAGGTCCAGTGCTTCCCTTGAAGTCCGACCTTCCACTCACCCCGGCTTGTATGTGTCCCAGTTCACAGGCTGAAGCCAGCTGACATCAAGGTCATTGGAGCCCTGGGCGACTCTATCACAGTGAGTTACCCTGAAGGTCGAGGGGAGGTGGGAGAGAAGACACCGATTGACACCTGAACCTGGAGAGACAGCTCACT